ATAACACACTCTTCCATTTATGTGATTTATTTAAGTAAGACAACTAATTCTATTTACTGATTTAAAAAAGAAAAGGCCCACTCTGTATGTATTTTTCAGTGGGTTTCTGTTTTGAATTCTCCACTTTTTTCATGTAGCAAAAGCAAAAATGCAAAAGAGTACATTCTCAGTTGTGCAGGAAGATGGCTGAACTTCACTTGGATGTTAAACTTGATCTTTAAAAAGTGTGTGTGTGTCACCCTGGCTGGTGTGGCTCAGTTGGTTGAGCATCGCCCCGTGCACCCAGAGGTCTCCAGTTCAATTCCCACTAGCACATGCCCAGGTTACTGGTTTGATCCCTGGTTGGGGTGCATATGGGAGGCAACTGATCAATATTTTTCTCTCACATCCATGTTTCTCTCTTCTCTCTCTCTCTCTCTTCCCTTGCTCTCTCTCTCTCAAATCAATAAAAATACATTTTGAAGTATGTGTGTTTCTCTGTGTGTCATATTGCACAAACTAAGAACAGGATAGGATATAGAGAGAAAAGGCTTAAATTTTATTATATTAGAAAAGAGGGGTTCTCTAGTGTTAAAAAAAAGAGTCCTTTCTTTTCTTTTTAAATTATATTTTTATTGATTTCAGAAAGGAAGAGGGAGAGAGAGAGAGACAGAAACATCAATGAGGAGAGAGAATCACTGACTGGCAGAGCCTGCAATTGGAACTGAACCCGGGACCCTTCAGTCCGCAGGGTGATGCTCTATGCTCTGAGCCAAACCAGCGAGGGCTAAGAGTTCTTAATTTAAGACCAAGACTGGTGAGATCTCAGTTCTGATTTGGCTTAAATTCTGGCTCTGACCCAGTTATCAGGTCTGGGTCATGTTATCGAGAACTCCATTTTACTTTCACCAAGGCAGAAATGCCACTTTAATCTTCATATTCTCTTTGTGTTTGCACCCCTAGCCCACATTGCCATGGCTGCTGTGCCCAGCATCCCTGAACCCAAGGTATACCAGCACTCCAAGAGCAGAGCATACTTCTGCCCCAACCCTGCATGGCACAAAGCCAGCCAGAGAAAGAAGTATCACATGATCTCATTCTCACGTGGTATCTAATGAAGAAAATAAATTGATGAACAAAACTGATCCAGACACACAGAACCATGGAACAGACTGAGGAATCTCAGAGGGAAGGCAAAGGTGTGGCTGGGTGGGGATAGATTAACCAGGGAATTTATATGCATATACACATAACCTATGGACAAAGACAATAGTGTGGTGAAGGCCTGGGGGCAAGGGTGCAGGGTAGAGGGTGTCAACGGGAAAAAGGGACATTTGTGATACTTTCAACAATAAAATATATCTAAAAATATATACCAGGTATATATTTTAAAAAGAGAGTTTCAGTTGATTCTTATTTTGCTAATCTCTTTCTGAAAAACCAAGATACTCCTTGAAATCATTTATTTTTTAATATATTTTTATTAATTTCATAGAGGAAGGGAGAGGGAGAGATAGAAACATCAATGATGAGAGAGAATCCCTGATCGGCTGCCTCCTGCACACCCTCTATGGGAGATCCAGCCCACAACCCGGGCATGTGCCCTGACCCAGAATCAAATTCTGACCTCCTGGTTCATAGGCTGACGCTCAACCACTGAGCCACACGTGCTGGGCTCCTTGCAATCATTTAAAGCACCCTCAGGGTGTCACAAAAACCCGAGCTGTGAGTCACCACTCCACAGTGACCAGCTCTGGCATTTACTACAGAGAGAGAATAACGTCAGTGCTCACTAATGCTAAGCCCCCATTTAAGACTGAACACATAATCGTATAGTAATTGCTTCCACCACTACAATTGCTGTTACTCATAGTTATTTAAAGTTACTGTCTTCCCAAAAGTCACCAGAGCCCCTCTATGGGGACAAGTTCCTCTGTAAGCTGACATTTCTACTTCGATGCATGGCTGGTCCCACAATTCATCGCTGACGTTTTCTTACCAGGGAACGTCAGAAGGAGATGTTGAATTTTATGGGGCCCTATCATGGAATGTCTGTACCACACCCAAATACTGGCTTAACACCTACCTGACACCAGGGAGAATTGGGGAGAGTTCTCTGAAACATAGTGGTTTGGAGTCATGGTGACATAGCCTTTCATGCGAATAACAGTGTCATCATTATTATTTTGAAACTAGAGGCCTGGTGCATGAAATTCGTGCATATGGGGGGGTCCCTTAGCCTAGCCTGCGCCCTCTTGCAGTCCGGGACCCCTTGAGGGATGTCTGCCTACTGGGGATTGGGCCTACGCCAGCAGTCAGACATCCCTCTTGCAGTCTGAGGCTCTCACAGTCTGGGATCCTTCGCTCCTTACCACCTGCTTGCAGTGGAGGCAGGAGAGGCTCCCGCCACCACTGATGCACTCGCCAGCCATGAGCCTGGCTTCTGACTGAGCGGCACTTCCCCTGTGGGAGCACACCAGGGGGCAGCATCTGCATTGAGCGCCTGCCTCCTAGTGGTCAGTGTGCATCATAGTAACTGGTCATTCTGCTGTTCGGTCAATTTTCATATTATGGTTTTATTATATTGGATAGTTCTTTCAACCAGGACACCAAAATATCCTAATTCGACTCCAGGAAGCAATGCTGAATGTATGCTTTGAAGGCACAGGGTACATTTGTGGACTGTGTATGTGTTTTCCCCTCTCTCTGCCCCAGATCTCTCTATCTGTGAATTAAGGGTGATAATAACCAATTCCTGGGATGGAACAATGGTTCTCAGTTGGAGACAGCTCAACTTTGTTCCCCAGAGGACATGTGGCAATGATAGTTTCAACATGCGAGTATAAATGTGTATGTAGAAAATGATAGAATATATAAATATAAATGGCTAGATAGATAGATAGATAATCTAAAAAAGTATCTATGGAAACTTCAACAAATGTTAGTCTTTTTTTGTTTTGTTTTGTTTTGTTTTTAAATATATTTTATTGATTTTTTACAGAGAGGAAGGGAGAGGGATAGAGAGTTAGAAACATCGATGAGAGATAAACATTGATCAGCTGTCTCCTGCACACTCCCTACTGGGGATGTGCCCGTAACCAAGGCATATGCCCTTGACTAGAATCGAACCTGGGACCCCTGAGTCCGCGGGCTGATGCTCTATCTACTGAGCCAAACCAGTTAGGGCCAAATGTTAGTCTTATATCTTTTGGCTCTAAAACCCTTCCTAACACTTTCCTTCTGGGTAAGTTTATGTTTATCATTCAAGCATATTCTGACTTGACTGGCCCCACAGACTTGACTGGCCACTGCCACTATTCCCAAATGTCTTAACAAATACCTGTGTGTGTGTGTGTGCGTGTGTGTGTGTAATTTTTTTTTTTTTGCTTTTCCTAAAAGTCATACAGATGTGATGACAACCCCAATGCAATGCCACCTATCCATATGATCCAATTCTCACGATTTTTGTATGCACAGCGACCCCTGTGTAGGTATCGTCTGAAGAACACACTCCAGCTCACCTATTTAACTAGTTTTGACTTAATTTGGGGTGCTTTATTAGCAAACAGTGTAAGACAGAGTAGCCGGTATAATACAGAGTGATGTTTAAATTAGTTTACAATTTGCTTGGCCTCATCGAGAACAGCCCCGAACAAAGCCATTCAGAAACGTCAGCTGTGTCGCTAACCACTGTAACAAATTGTCGCCTGAGCGCTGCACACCTAATGACTTCAAATTAGCTTCCCTGCGATACTGCCTGACAGTTCGTTACGACTGTTAGCAACATAGCTGGCGTATCATGACCAATAAATTGGTTTCAGTGTGGGCTGGGAAAGGGACTTCCATCAATTTGATTAAAGAAATTACTGTAGCATTCAAAGCATAAAGACAAACTAGTTTAAGGAGACAGAAATAAGTTAACTGTAACCAGAAAAGCCTGGCTCACCATTCAAAAACTTCCTTATAAGCGATTTGAAGATCAACACTCAAGCAAACAAAAAATAATAATTCTAGATGACTAGACTTCTCAGAATCTGTGGTTAGGCATAGGTTTGATATGACAGGATGGGTCAAGAAAGAAAAGGAAAAGGCTATTTTAAAAGACTGCTTTGAAGTTACCATAGGAGAAAATTCCCGATGTCAATGTAACATTTCTTTTCATTAATTTCTGTATAAATTCAAGATGGACATCTCATTGTAAACCAAAGCAAAGCTTGTGAATATGAATAGTATGTGAATAAACAGTATAAATAGCCACCATGAACAACAAAATGAGTTATTCTTAAAAAGAAGGAAACAAATTTACATTAGACTACTGGTGACAAAAACACCTTTTACCATGAAAATAAAAGCAGAAGCATTTCTTTAGGAGAAAGCTCAGAACTTTAAAAGGAATAAAGAACTGTGTTGTTGTTTTTAAAATTATATTGTCTTTATCTTACCTTGGCAATAGTACCTCCATATAGGAAAACATAATTAACAAGAGTTCAAGTTGGTACAGACAGAAAAAGGTTTAGGGTTCTATGAAGATCAGAAAAGCTTTAAACTAAGTATAATAATAAAAAACAAAACAAGGTAAATGTTAAAAAACAATCCCAAAGAGAAAATTTAGAATTTGCCCAAATGTACATATACCACCTAGAGCAGCGGTTCTCAACCTGTGGGTCGAGACCCCTTTGGGGGTCAAAGGACCCTTTCACAGGGGTCGCCTAAGACCATCGGAAAACACATATATAATTACATATTGTTTTTGTGATTAATCACTCTGCTTTAATTATGTTCAATTTGTAACAATGAAAATACATCATGCATATCAGATATTTACATGACAATTCATAACAGTAGCAAAATTACAGTTATGAAGTAGCAAGGAAAATAATTGTATGGTTGGGGGTCACCACAACATGAGGAACTGTATTAAAGGGTCGCGGCATTAGGAAGTTTGAGAACCACTGACCTAGAGAATGAACTACAATGTTTTTCTTTTCTTTTTTAAAAAAATTTGTTTTCAGAGAAGGTACCTGGAATATGCTTGGCCCATCCAATGATCACCACCAGCTCTCGGTCAGCCAAGTCGCACAGCGTGGTGAGGGCTTTGATGTCGCTGTCGGGGACGGTGGGGTCAGGCATGGCATAGATCTTCTCCGGTTCGGCCACCAACAAATGGGACACAATCTTGTTATCTGCAGGATCAGACCAGAGCACTGAGGGATCACTAGTAGCATCATCCTTCTTTTACAAACCTCAGAGCACGTTGGGTTTTGAACAGGAAATCAAATCGCCTACAAGAAACCCAGCGTATTCTGCTTAGGGTTCCCTATAGGCACATTAACCAGCTTCGGGGAACACACAGAGCGAGACAGAGCGGCTGCAGTCCCAACAGGTGCGCTCCTGTCTTCGTCTTCTCCTTTGCTCTACCTGCCTTGGTGGGACTGCAGCCTCTCTCCTGGAATGAAAACATTTGTAGCAAACGGATAAGAGAAGTTAGATGCTCTTTGGGTTCATGCATTGAATCTTTAGTGGGATTTGGGGAAGCAGATTAAGTCATAGACAACAACTTTAAGATAAAAAACGCACAGTCAAGCACTGAAATCTGGAATATAATGTGGAAGGCAAAGAACTACTAATGCCCATAGTCATCATGGGCATGAAAGTCCTTAATTGTCTTAATTCCTTTAAAGTAGAGCAATGGTCAGAGCCCTCCTGCTTGGGTGAATTGGGGACTCAATAACTCTATCTTTGTGGGATGCACTAAATAGGAACTTTTTTTCCTTCCCCCTCTCCCAGCATACTAGCCAATCTCCTCAATACAGACAATATCAGTTTCCAGAAAAATAGTTCTATGTAAATGGTACAATGTGTTCTCCGTGGAGTGTCTAATTCTTCAATCCTCTATTTTCATCTGTTGTCTGTAGTTCATTTTCTGGTTCAGATTTATCTGTCTGAAATTTATGATTTATGTTTTTAAAAACCTTCATAAAATAAACACTGGAGACAAATGAAAAGCATCACATCAAATGTGTTTTACTGCCTGGGGGCATGTGCGGGTTTATGGAGGGGGCTGTAAAGGCTCCCGAACGGAATGGTTTTTCTGCGTGGCCCCATTTTCCATGTCTGTGTGTAGCTTTAGATTTCTGTACTTTCTGCTAAGTGGGGAGATGGAAATGGGTAAGAATAAATGTTTCCATGTTCTATGTACTATATGACTCTGGAAAAAAATGGGGCATTAAATGGGATTTTTGTGAGCAAAGCTAGTTTCCTCTCTGTTTACTATATCATTTTCCTTTCACTATAACTTTTTAACCCAAATTGAAAGACTTCCTATACATTTGAATTGAAAACATAACATTCTTTGAATCGCCTTTAACATAACAAGAAGATGCATCCAAACTATAAAGCATTTTTTCCAGACATATCTTAAAATGTTATTACAGCTCCCATAGGAATTACATATATTGCCAATCATCAACAGATAACCATTCATTGGCAGTAATATTCAATTATCATGAAACTGCAGATTTAGGAGAAAATATCCCAAAATGCCACGGTTTCTGATAAACATTAAAGTTAAATAGAGGTGTTTTTTTGTTTTGTTTTGTTTTTTTACTTTGTAGGATCCACAGAAAATGGCACTGGCTTCCCGTATGTGCTTAAGAAACAACACCCTGTAGTTTTAGTCTCACTTAGAAAAGTCTCCACTTCCCTCGCTCTGACAATCAACAAAACCTTCAGCAACCACTGGGTTCCCAGACTAGAGGAAAATGCAGTGATAAAGGGCATAGACAGGGACCCGAAGGAAACCCTGAAACTCCAGTTCTTATTTATTACAGGAAACATGTTGCCTGTTTCCGCCAAGCCAACGGGCACTGGACTCGGGGTCAGAGAAATGGGGTGGAAGCTTGGAAATGCCCATCATTCCGAAGACGGAACAGCCTGCAGCACTGCTTCTAGGTAAATCTTATTTAATGTTTCCCTAATTAGAATCAATAGAACCCAATTTCCACTCTGGGGCTTTTGCGCTACCCAATCAGTCAGGTTCCAGAAATCTCCCCAGCCACTCTCCGCCAACGGCCCATGCACCGTCTCCTGACACTTATCCGACAGGATCTGAAAATTAAGTTTTATAAATGTTTGTTACCAAAACACACTAATTGGATGGACTCAGGAAAATTAGCACAGAGGCCTTGAGATAATGAGTAATGATTTATTAGGAACCCTCTTTATCTCAGACAAATGCAGCTCAGTGAAATTGCTGTAATCTCCTTAAAGGTACTTGACATGCCACTTCCCAGTTCCTCAGGTTTACGCCCCAAACCATAGACGTTCCTTTATCGTGGGCCGGTGTTCATTTTTCTCTCTGGAGAGGAACTTATCAATGGTTTTGGTCAATGTTTGCATAAAATGAATGAGAAATGGGCACTCTGTGTATTACCGAATCCGGGCAAACTAAACCTCTAATGAAATTAAGCATTAGTGTTTATTGCACTTTATTGTATTATCAGAAAGTTTTTTTTTTTATTATAATGTGCAAAATCTGCTTAATGCAGTCCGGGATTGTATTTGCAGAATGCCAAGGAGCTTATGCAGGCTGCAGAGAAGATGCCAGATTGGACAATTGAAGGTATAATCAACATAATGTTTTTTGGAAAGGCAAAAGGAAACTATGCCATATGTTCACTTAAGCTTTAATTTTATGTAAAACTGGTTGTTTTCCCTTTGACATCGTTGAAATGTCCTTTCGTTTACAGTTCAGGGTCTGTTTTATTTATTTAACCCATCCCCATATGCTCACTGTACGGTGCGCAGCAGCGACCCCTCCTGGAGAGTCTGAATTAGAAGCAGACGCTTTTTTTCTCTTCCCTTAAAAGCAGGTAACAAAATACTGGTGTCTTTTCTGGAACTGCTATCAATGTGAGTGGGTGCTGGGCGTGTCTCCTGAGACAAAGACAGCTGAATGCCAGCACCGTCTCCACCAAGAGTCTTCTCAGTGCCTGATATGAACTCTTTGCATAAACCCCCTAAAATGCTAGGGCTGTTGCAGAGCAGCTGTGAACTGATTTTTCAGAAAATGGGATACAGTTATTGCCTCGATCTATATTCTAGCTCTTTTACTTAATGGCAAAGAGAATGGGGCTTGCATTTTAGCACCGTACCATCGCCCCTTCCAATGGCAACCTGGCATTAGGAAGCCACGGGCTCTTAAAAAACAATTCATGATGCCCATAAGGACACCTGAGACGGAACCATCAACCTATGCTTGTTATTAGCAGGGCCCATTCTTGTTTTAATCTATTGCTAGCTAGTGTGTTAACCTTCTCTAGCTCCAAATTAATGAGGCTCCTAATGTATTTTCAAGGGGAGGTTGAGCAGTCAAACTCATTTAGTTAGCGACAACTACAAAAATCACTTTCTTGTGAAATCTGAAACTAACAGCTCCAATGAACTAATGATCACAGTATGATCCATTTGATGTACCTCTGAAAATAAAAGGAACCAGTAAATGTAAAATCCACACTATATAAGCAATGCCTTAATGTGCTTCTGCTTCCACAAAATGACTAGGCGAATACAGGGCGGAGGGAGGAAAAACCATAGGAAAGAAAAAGATCATTAGGTGAGTGGCTGTTGCCCCTCACAGGCAATCCTTGGGATTGGAGCCATGGCCCCCCAACAAAGACAAGCCTCCTTGGAGTCGGTAGGGATGGGCATGCCAAAGTCATACACAGAGCCAACAGGAGGGGTGCGGGGAGAGGGGGATTCTGAGTACTGGGCAGCCAGACATGTCTGCTGTACTTACATGGCTTTTTGGCTGGCTGAACCAGCTGGGGGTTCAGGTAGGGGCTGTTCTCTGCATCTATTCTGCGCTTGTACTTCTGCCGGCCTCCACGTACTCTGTCAAGACGCACTCCTGTGGGCAAAGACAGTCACATGTTTACCCTGGAGGTAGATCTCTTCAAAAACCAATTCAATGCATAGAGAGCATCACCCATGGGTGCTAGGGAAATGGACAGTCCATGCAGAATTGTCAAGGGGCATGAGAGGGATGTAAAAAAAAGTGGTGGCTACACCAAGATTGCCAGGGATTGGAAACCAAATCTAGGAGAGGATGATAAACCAGATAAACATTTTATGCAAGGCCATCAAAGTGACATGTACACGTCAAAGAAAAGGCACGTTTCATGTGAATTAATACAAAGAAACTGTTTCTCAAATTAAATACAATGGCCATTTGTAGCCTCTATATCAGTTACCCCTGAAAGCTCTATATCAGTGATGGCGAACCTATGTGTCAGAGGTGACACGCGAACTTATTTTTTTGGTTGATTTTTCTTTTTTAAATGGCATTTAACTATATAAAATAAATATCAAAAAATATAAGTCTTTGTTTTACTATGGTTGCAAATATCAAAAAATTTCTATATGTGACACAGCACCAGAGTTAAGTTAGGGTTTTTCAAAATGCTGACACGCCGAGCTCAAAAGGTTCGCCATCACTGCTCTATATGTAGGATCAGGTAGACCAGCTGGCCAGCTACCCAACCCTGGGGTTACCAGAAGACCCTGTAGAATAGAATTGCATTGAAAGTAACTACATGCCACAGAGATGAGATGCAAGGACTGTTCCATATTATCCTGTCCCATATTAACATGTCTCAAATGCGAGAAAGCTGGGAGTTGGTTTTGACTGAACCCAATAGGATGGAAAGAGGAGCTTCCTGAAAGGATCCAGACTAGGGTGTCAAAGAAGGGGTGAGTTCACAGGGCAGAGCTGGAGGGGAAGTTAGGAAGAAGGCAAAAGTAGATGGGCTTTTGTAAACCTTTTCCCAAAGAGTGATGGGTGGGGTCAAGATGCAGGGAGTTTTGCTGGCAGTGAGGTAAGAGATCAAGAGCAAAAAGGAAAGGAAAGGGATGAAAAGTAATGTTTTGTTTATATGAGGGAGTGGTGGGGAAGAGCTTGTCAACAGCAACCTGGTTTCCAGTGGGACTGTAAAGTTTAGAACAGGACCTTATAAAACCATTGTCAAAACAAGGTTACTGGGGAGTAAGAATGAGGAGAGAGCCTCTTTTTTTTTTTGGTAGTAGATTGTATCTAAATTGATGAAACCGTGTAACATTCTCCATTAATAAATTCAACCAAGCAATGCATAACCCATATTTTGGCATCTTTCAAACTGTGTACAAAATAGATTTGGTTTAATAGCATCATCAGTTTTATTATTTTACTGAAGGGCATCTCAGAGCCTTTAATAAGCAAATAGCCTCTGCAGAACTCTCAGAGGGAGATACGGCCCAGGCAGTGCTTTTGCAAACCAATCTAACTAAGGATCCAGTTTGGGGAATATTATTAATACCATGTGACATGTGAGTTGTGGGTTACCTGAGGTTCAGGAAACAGTTTGGGAAAGGCTGATATATCTCTAGGTGAATCCCCAAGGTCAGTATATATACACAAAAGGTAAGGATTATTAGTGATCCATACAATAAAGAAACATATTTTTTATATTGCCTTAATAATAAATACTACTTTAAGAGTTGATGATCTTTTAGTGAAACATACAAACATACACTGGTTTCTCAACAAAACCTGAAATGCCATATTGAAACATCAAAGCAGAATTTAACTCAAATCAGTAGACAACTTCAAGAGCAATGAAGCAGGTTTAGACAAATAAATATTTTAAAAAACAAAGAAATTGGGTACACTAAGTATTCACGGAAAATAATAGTGCATGCCACAAAAAGCTATATGCAATGGCATCATAAATTGTTCCTAAATAGTATATGAAGAATATGTTTAAAAAATAAAGCATAATTTGCAAATCAGAATGGTTGAGGTTTTTTTTTTAATGACTCTTTCATTAACTAGCTCTGTAAACTTCAATGAGTTCCTTAACTTATTTCCTTTTCCACATATAAAATGGATGGAAAGACAATATCCTCTCCAAAGTTTTGCTGTGATGATCTAATGTTATAAAAATATATTAATGCAATTGGATATTATACAAATGTAATACTAAAATATTTTACAAACCATAAAATGCCAAGGAAAATAAAGTTGTCACTATCTCATAATTTTGTTGAAATATTGCTATATTATCTTATTTAAAGATATTTTACATCATGCTTATTTATTGAAAATCTATCCCCATGGAGTTTGACAGTCTACCCTGCCTCAGTTCTGTATGTAAACAGATTTGGGGTATGATGGAGTGGTAAGATAATTCAAAAAACACAAGCCAAATAATGGAGTGGTAAGATAATTCAAAAAACACAAGCCAAATAATGATACTCTATGATGCCTAAGTGATTTATAGAATTATTTGGTATCCCATTCTATTTACTGTTCACTCCTGTCATTAATAATATCATTTACGTATGTGATTACTTTAGAATAGACAGAGAAATGAACCCAAATTCCATCAAAAAGAAGAATGTTTTCCCCGAGTTTGCTTTAAGCACACAATACAAATTTGAGAAGAGAACTGATAATTATCCAATTAACCTGATACACGTAGAAGCCTCAAACTATTTTAGCAGAAACAAATAAACAAACAAAATAACAATATTTGCAATCAGGACCTGAGAAATCCAGATTTGCTCTAAACAAACACCAGTCTAATCCAAATATTTCCATGAAAGGGCAAGTTCACATCTTTTCACATCTTTACAATCTTAAACACAAACAGCTTCTGTTTCGATGTCACTGGTAAGCCAGTTCGGAAAAAGTTTAAAAATAAGTTTTCTCTGAGGAAATAAGATACCCACTGTATCCAATATTTGACAGGATTTGAAGTTAATTAAAGCATCTGGATTTTCCATTCAGGTGGAGACTGCCCTTATCTATTTTTTTTTTACTAAAAGATTTTAATAGTTGGCATTGCCTACAAGTAGAGCATTTCCTCCCACATTGCTGCCTCTCTCAAATACTGCGTGAGCCCACGTGGCCACATGGGAATTGCAAATCTCACACACTGTCAGAATTTACAAAATTGGGAACGCAAGACTAGGGCAAGGAGGGGAAAAAAATATGCTGGGAGGCAAATAAACTCCAAGAGACGTAAAGCAGTTCAGCACCAGGGCTTCTAAGTCAGCTAATTTTAAGTCTGCATTTTATGCCCAAATGCAAATTTTTATATGATGTAGTCCAAAGTCAAAAGTATTGTTCGCATTTTTAACAGTGCAAAGTCTGAGGCATTTCAGAGAACAGCAAAAGACCTTCCCTGCGGAGAATTACCCAGGCTATCCTAGCCTACTTTCCCAAATTAAAAACATGCCTTAGATAATGTTCCCAAACAAAGGTTTGCTGTACACATGAATTGCAGAGACAACTCCCTCCCCCTGAATACTTAAGATGCAAAGAGTCACATTAAAGGAAAAATACTTTTTAAAAAAAGATAATGAAGTGAATGACTACTAAATCAAGAGTTATATTAAATAAAAGTAATCAGCTCGGCCGGTGTTGCTCAGTGGTTGAGCGTGGACCTATGAACCAGGAGGTCATGGTTCGATTCCCAGTTAGGGCACATGCCCGGGTTGCAGGCTTGATCCTCAGTAGGGGTGTGCAGTAGGCAGCCGATCAATGATTCTCTCTCATCATTAATGTTTCTATCTCTCTCTCCCTTCCTCTTTGATATCAATACAAATATTTTTTTTTTAAAAAAAAGAAACTTGAAATAACCAGACAAAGTGTTTTGCAGGGGGCACACTGTTGCATGGGGGGTAAAAGCACTTTCTCAGAAGCACAGAGCCCTATCTATGACACATAGGAGTACAAATTAGGTCATTGCAACAGGTGACATGTTTTAATTGAATGTCTTCTGTCTTTGATTCTGACAAAAGGTGAATGGAAATAAATGAGTCTGGCAAGACGGCCCTGAGCCTTACAATAGCCAATATCTCATTATTTTTAAACAGCTATCTATAAACTGATGCTGACAAGCCCTGAGCCTTTTATTTCTGCTCAAGATGAGGTGGCTGTGAAGGGGTGGTGGGCGGGGGGGAGAAAGAAAGAAAAAAAGGGCACGCAGAACATTACATTAAACATGCAATACCGACCACTATCGCTTCCCAATGTAATTAAAGGAAATCTCCCATTCGAAGGGCACTATTTCTTACTTTGTGTGATGTCAGAAAGAACGAGAGAGAGCATGCTTGGCCTGCATTTGCCAAACATAGAGACTGCCTTTTTAAAAAGGAAACTAAAAGAAAGTATTCTCTTTCCTTCTTTTTGCCTATTAAAAATTTCATAAACTGCCTGGCTGGTGTAGCTCAGTGGATGAGTTTCAACCTATGAACCAGGAGGTCACGGTTGGATTCCCGGTCAGGGCACATGCCTAGGGCTGTGGACTCGATCCCCATTGTGGAGCACGCAGCATGCAGGAGGCAGCCAATCGATGTTTCTCTCTCATTGATGTCTCTCTCTCTCTCTCTCTCTCTCTCTCTC